TGTGGTTGCCGCAAGCCTGCCGGACGCTCCTTCGTCGAATCTGCCGGCCGCCGCTCACTCTAGCCACCGGCCTCCGGTCACTCAAGGCCGCCGTGTGTGACGCTGTGTTTCGTATGTGTTTTTTGAACCTTAAACCACATAAACACATTTCATTACACTAAATACGCAAAATAATGTTCATTTTAGCAGCATCATATGACCCCTTTAATATATTGGTTTGATTGTCTTCTCATCTGCTTGTGTAGTTTGTGCTGTCATACAGTAGCTCCTCCGGAGAGAACAGGACACGGATACACACCGTTATTCTGTCCGCTTCCAGTCAACCACTAGACACCTTTAGAAGCAGCCAGGCCGAGACGCTCCTCACATTCTACTGCAAGAAATGTATTTAAAAATATGAATATGAATCAAATACCAATATGAAATCAAATTTGACCTTATTTACTTTTTTAATAAAATATGTAATTTATTCACTACTGTTTAAAAGTTCGGGGTCATTTTTTAGAGAAATATTACTTTTATTCAGTAAGGATGCACTGAATTGATTAAAAGTGACAGTAAAGACATTGTGAAACACAATGCTGTTACTTTCTGTTCATCAAAAAAAAAATCACTGTTTCTATAAAAATATTAAGCAGCACAACTATATTCAAGACTGATATTGATTAAAAAAATGTTGAGCACCAAATCAGCATATCAGAATGATTTCTGAAGGATCATGTGACACTGAAGACTGGAGTAATGATTCTGAAAATTCAGCTTTGCCACCATAGGAATAAATTGCATTTTAAAATATATTAATATGCAAAACAATTTTGAAAATTGTGGTTATATTTCACAATATTACTGTTTTTATTGAATTTTTGATCAAATGGATATAGCCTTGGTGAACCCCAAACTTTTGAATGGTAGTGTACAAATAATATGTAATATAAATACAATAATATTTTTACATGAATTTGCTTATATAATGACTTATCATAATTAGCAGTGCATAATCAGTTGTTTTATTGCACTCAGCCCAGTCTTCCTTGTTTTACTTCAATTTGGTTATTTTTACTATAATATTTCTAACTTTATTTTGTCGGTGTGTGTGAGTCAGTGTATTCATTAGCACTGGAGAGTCCGCTGCAGTCCCTGCGTGAGGAGCTACAAACGGAGGTTACTGAGATGTTGGCTTGCTTCAGGAAACAAAGCTGCACTACCTCTGTGTCCCCAGGACAGGTGCGTTCTTCATATAGTTCTCTCTCTTTAATGAGGATCTCTCATAAGGTACTGGACCAGCACTGGACCCTTTTGAATATTCGGATACTCTAGAGATTTATCATACAGTTTCAGATGAAGCAATAATTTAGAAATATTAAACCATGATTTGGTGATACCAATTAAAAAGTAAGGTCCCGCCGTTTTCAGTCCAATATATTTTCAATTGCTCAAATAAATAGACATTGCCTTTTTTGTGCAAAGAGCCCTAGACAGTTATTAGCAAGTTGTGTAATTAGAGCTTAATCAGATATTTTAGGCCCGTGAAGTCTTCTAGTATTTAGGGGAAAAAAGTATTTTTAGGAGATGACAGACAGTCTGTTACTCCACTCTCAATTTATTTTACGATTCGTTAGCCTATTAATGATGCAGGCACAGATAACAATACTAAGAAGCCATTCTAAGAGATTCCTATTTCATTTGGATAATAGAGTCTTGAATGTCATACTCCTCTTTGTCTCTTTCTCTCTGTCTGTGTGTGTGTGCGTGTGTTTCTTTCTGTCAGCTGGTGCTGCCTCAGTTTCTGAAAGCCGTACCTGTCTACATTAACAGTCTGCGCAAAAGCGAAGTGCTGCTGCCTGGGCTGCGGAGCTCTGTACATCAGCGTCTACAACAGCGTAGCCTCATTGTCTCCATGGACACGCTGAGCACTGCTTCTCAGTTCTACCCACTTATTCTGCCTCTGGTGAGAGACAGACATCTAGAACATTCTGTTCATCCAAATTAGTCACTGAAATGAGACCGTTTCCTTGTCTGTAAGAATTCATAATTCTCAGTTGGATTGTTATGCACATGGCAGAATTTAGAGATGCCACATTCTTCACTACTCTAGCAATAAATGCATCTACTGTACTCTCACTCTCTATTTATAGCATTTTATTTTTTACTTATTATGTCAAGATTTCTGGCACCAAAGACAGTTATAATTAGGAATGCACAGTATATTAGTACCACATTGAATGTTGGCTGATATTAGAAATGTCTTTTTTAATTGATCAATATGTGATCAATATTGGAATATTTAATTGTCTATTTTTTATTCCCTTTTGTTGTCATATAATGCTTACCTAAAGTTAATCAAACTTTCATTTAAATTAACAGCATTTAAAATGGTTAATTTTAGTTTTAAAGTTGTATTCCTAGTTGTATAAATAGTATAAATGTTATCTATCATCTGCCATTTCTTGGTTATTGACCATAGCAAGAGAATAACCACCAGCTTATTGGCTGCTAATTAGTAACGTTAGACTAAAATGCCGGCAGTTCTGACTCACGTAAGTACGTTTTCATTTAAAGGATTTGCCACTGATGATTCAAACGCGAGTTTTGGGCAGTGTAGAATAGCACTTGTTGTTTGTTATTTCTCTGATCACAAATGCAGACAGGGTTTTATGTTTACGCGGCGCGATGCAATGCAACGCATTGGGGCATAGAGGAGAAACAATAATGTACAGTATGTGGAAAATAATGTGTTTTTTTTACTTTAAACCGCATAAACACATTTCATTACACCAAATACACAAAATAATGTTCTTTTTAGCAGCATCATATGACCCCTTTAAATAGACAAAATTTGAAACCAATAGTGTCAAAACCAATAAAAGCAGGCGACTGTACATTTAAGGTACAGTACAGTACTTAAGTAAAAGTACCTTTTTGTGTCTTTTTCTACTTAATTGGGAGCTTAAAACCATGAAAGTTTTTTTTCTGTATAGTACACCAAACTTAAAAAAAGAGCAAGAAAAATCCATGTCACATTTAAGTCCAACGCAAACTTCCTAAAATATTGATGCTTTCTCTCCTGACTGGATGATGATGCCACTGTCTCTGTGTTTACCCTTCTCACCCCTGCAGTCTGTCTCTGCTGATAATGTCAACATGCCATCATTAGGGGAAGCCGTGCGCTGTACTGTCTCTAGTCTGGATCCAGGGGGTCTGTATCTGGTCTACTGCCCACTGGCACTGCTCCTTTGGGTGGGCAGCTGTGTGCCTCCTCACACTCTTCTACAGCTTTTCAACACCAACTCCTTCTCCTACCTCACATCTGGAGAGGTGAGACAGGGACACACTGCGTTGGCGTTTACATTAGCATTTAGCAGACTTTATCCGAAGTGACTGACAAATGAGAACAATTCATAGAAGCAGTTCATCTAAGAGAGAATCTGAGGGTTGGATACATATTTTAAATGAAAACTTTAAAATGTAATCTGCTGTTTTCTACCATAATAGACTACTAGATAATGGGTAATTGACAAATAGTGGGTTCATGAACTATGTATAGGATTAGATATAGATAGTCATAGAATAAATGTACCTTTCAGATTAATCTCTTTTACTGGGATTCTGACTAGAATCTGATTTGTCTGTCATGGGTTATTTAATCATTCATCTAAATTGTCAAAACACTATTTTAAATGTAATATCTGATTTAGTATTGTATATTAATGACACTTTTTTAAGAAGTTAAACTCAACAAGGCTGCATTTATTTCATCAAAAATATAGTAATATTGTAAAATAATATTACAATTTAAACGAACTGTTTTCTATTTTGATGTATTTTAAAGTGTAATTTGTTCCTATAAAGGGAAAGCTGCATTTCCGGCAGTCATTACTCCACTGGTGTCATATGATCCTTCAGAAATCATTCTGATATGATTATTTAGTGCTTAAAAACATTACCTTTTACTATCAATGTTGAAAACAGTTGCTGCTTAATATTTTTGTGGAAACTGATACCTTTTTTTTTTTTATCTAGGATTCTTTGGTAAATAGAAAGTTCAAACAAACAGCATTTATTTGAAATAGTAATCTTTTGTAACATTATAAATGTGTGTGTGTGTGTGTGTGTGTGTGTGTGTGAGAGAGAGAGAAACACTGTTTATGTCGAAGTACCCATTCAAGGAGTTTTCTTCATAATGTTTTGCACTTATTGTATTTTAGTGCTTTGACTTCACTTTAGCCTCGTACATAGCATGTGTGTTGTATGTTCTCTGTAGATCAAACTTCCAGTGCTTGAGAACTCCCTCTCCATCAGCACCAGAGCTCTCATATGCTCTCTGCAGTCCTCAGCAGCTGTTACTCTCCAGGTGAATGACTCACACCCTTCATTTGCACAATGTTTAATTCAGGAACTGACAGGATGTGGACACAGAATGAACTATTTTGTTTATTTTTTTGCGACAAAAAATCTGCACAGCTCAAACCATAGTAAAACCAAACCATTTGACCGTTTTCCTTTCAAACTCAGTTGTGGCAGTAAAACATGTTTAATAGTTGAAAAAAAAGTAATTTTAATGTGTGTTTCTTTTTGTTCAGCTAAAACTGGTGCGGGAAGGTGACAGCTGTGAGGAGTCTCTGCAGCTCCTCCTGGTGGAGGACAAGAGTCCTAATGGTGGAGCTTCATACGCTGACTTCCTTTTTCACCTTCATGTCAATGCATTGCATCTTGTCGTGTGACAGTCTCTTCTCATAGACAAGGCTGTGGAATATTTGTAAAGTCCTTTGTGATAGTTCAGTCCCAATGTAGTTGACCTTTTGTTTCCTCGATAGCCATTGCTGCTGCTGTTCTTAAATCTATGAGGAAAAAGAGTTCTGTCTGGATTTACCATACATTTATCTCTGAAATATTTACATTTTACAACTTTAGTAAATGCAAATTCGATATGACCAGCTTGTTTTAGGAGAAATGCTGAATACTACGATTAGTCCTTTAATTTTCAAGGGCTTAGAATGACTGATTAGTGTTTGAACTCCCATCAAAGACTCAGTGATTAATGATTCTCTATTTGAAGTGTGTGTGTGTGTGTGTGTGTGTGTGTGTGTGTGTGTGTGTGTGTTTGGTTTGATTTAACATTTGCTCTTGTGTCATGAATATTGCACTCTGAATTGAATTCATGAATTTGCCCAACTGGCAGTGGCGAGTTAGAGTGTGCATGTTAATATTTTTCAAGCAATAATATATTCATTGAATTTTTGGTCTCATTACACCTCAATATTTAATGTCTTGATAAAACCCCTGATATTTTTCAAAGGGCCATCAGCATGTGGACCTAACACTTTACAGTTTTAATAATTTACGTAACATTTCTTTTGTATGAAGAAGATACTTTTCTCTCCAAAAATGAATAAATAACTGTAAATGTGTAACTGGCTCTGAATCATTCTCGGCCGAATCTCTTTAGCATTGATCTTCTTTCCAATGCTACGTTCTGGTGAAATTTCTGCCTCTCCTCCACAGAGAACTGAAAGGCAGCGAGAAACACTCCTAACGAGTCATACCAAGTCTAATTAGTGTAATTGGAGTTAATGATGTTGACATTGAGCTGAATATGAAATATCCGAGTGGTTGAAAACACACACACACACAGAACTAAATGAGCAATGTAAACATGATGGATCTATTACCTAAAAAATCATTTTGAATGCATCTGACCATTTCAGTTTAAAAATAAAAAATAACCAGTTTTCTCATACTTGATTTCACAAGATAACACTTTGTGTATTGCATTTGCATGTGAAAGGTCAGTGGAAGCCAACAAAAACCATGTCAGTCATCAGTCCCCCCCGTGGAAAAAACCCTATTACCATTTATCCTTGTGAATGCAAAAGACAACTATATGATCCTGTCATGCATATAAAATGAATAATAACACTTTATTTGTATGGGGCCTTGCATATAATGGAGCACAAAGTGCATAAGGGAGTACAAAACAGAATAAATAAAAAAACAGAAATACGCACTTAAAATGCAATAAAACTAATACGATTAAAAGGTAAAAAAGTGTATATTGTATAGTTTTCGAAATGCTAAACTCACGATGTTTGTTATGCATGCATTAAATATTTTATTTCCGTCTACCATCGATGCTTTATTTATATTTCTTTTGGTTTACACGCCGCTATCAGGATTACGTAAGAGCTCATCGAAATACAAATAGCCCCCCTCGTGGTTTGTCCCTATTTGGAGTTACAATAACAGTAATACAATAACGGAGCGCCCACGCACGCTAGTTCCGCCTGCCGCCGATAGGTGGCGCTCGCGCAGTCTATTTTGAAGGCAGGCGATTGGAGCACAGCGCGGGGGTGAGGACGCCCGCCGTCAGCATACACGCTGTCCTACTCAACCATTAACCTGTCATTTCAAGACATATCAGGCTTTATTTTTTTGGAGCGCAAAATCGAGGTGAATATCCAGGACGCTCTTTACTCGCCGAATTGAGGACGAATTTTAATTTCTTAAAGAAGCGTGTCCGAGACGGGAAGACATGGCCACGACTACATGTACGCGCTTCACGGACGAATATCAGCTGTACGAGGAGCTGGGCAAGTGAGTATCACGAGGTGGTCGGTTGTGCATGTGTGGAACTGTCCTGCACGGAGATTGCATGATGATATTTGGGCAGGGGAAGCGAACTGACAGCAAACGCGAGGTGTGGTGGTGCCCCGATAAGCGTGCTGTCACTGAGGGAGGAGATAGACACGCTCAAGCCCTGCCAAGATCCGCTGACCAGCACTCAGACCCGCTAATATTATTTCAAAACAACCCACTTGCAGATGCAACAAATATTGATTAGTGCAACACCCCGTAAGCTGCTATTTCATGCTCGGATGTAAAAGTAAACATGCACGTGCAAAATTCAGTGTGCATTTGGGTTGCGTTTGGCATTTCCACATAATCAACGACACGGTGCTTTATCTGTAATATATACTGCATGTAGACTATATGTAACCCTGGACCACAAAACCAGTCATAAGGGTCCATTTTTGGAAATTGAGATTTATACATCATCTGAAAGCTGAATAAATAAGCTTTCAATTGGTGTATGGTTTGTTTGGACAATATTTGGACGAGATTCAATCATTTGGAAATCTGGAATCTGAGGGTGCAAAAAAAGAAAAGAAAATCTAAATATTGAGAAAATCGCTTAGCAATTCTTAGCAATATTACAAATCAAAAATTAAGTTTTGATATATTTACGGTAGGGAATTTACAACATGTTTTCATGGAACATGATCTTTTCTTAATCCTAATGATTTTTGTCATAGAAAAAAAAAATCGATCATTTTGACCCATACAGTGTATTTTTGCCTTGTGCTACAAATATATCCGTGCAACTTATGACTAGTTTTGTGCTCCAGGGTGTCACGTATGATATAGCGATGTCCGAAATGTGAACTAATCGTTGATTCGGATCCTTTGAAGGACTCGGTTGATCCGTTTAACAAAACCCTTCTGTATTATTTGTTCACGAATCTGACTGAATCGGTGCGAGAGGCTCTCAAATGAACTCTCAAATGTTGTATGCATTTGGGGTGAACCGATAGAATATTTGCAATTTGAGGGAACTTTATTTCAGTAGCAGGGATATTAACAAATAAGACGTACTGGAACTATGCTTGCGTCTTGACTGTATGACAGGTTGCATCATAGTTGTGTAAATACTGTCATACTAACAGCTGTCTGAATAATTTTTGGTTGATTCTAATCTATTACATACCTGTCTATCAAAATTATCTAACATTATCAAGATGAATTTGTTCTGACACAGTGTAGCTCTGAGTTCTTGTCATATTTTATTACCATTTTCTAAACTATAGCGAATAAACTGTGATAATGTGAGAAATGTTGAAGGTGTCTGAATAAATTTTGGTTTGACTGTATCTATTTGATAAATGAAGTTAACCAACTAACATTATACATACCCTTTTGGTTTCTGTACCCAATATTTAAAAAATGTACAAATGCAATATATCGGTACCGGCAAGTACCAAAAATAAAAGTATCGGTATCGGGCGAGTACTGGAAAAAGTGGTATCGGTGCATCCCTAGTTGCATTTGATCCAAATGGGAAAAAAACGTTTTTACCCAAGAGGTGTAAATGAATTTTAATTTTAGGATTGCAAATGCAAATAATATTTAGGCTGTAAGTAACTTTTAAGAGCTAAAACACATTGATTTTAGGAAGTGGTGAGATATGACTATTTAAACGTTTTTGAGCTCCTAATATTTAATATTTTGCGCTGTCATGGCCTAATCATGGAATCATTGAATTGTTATTTTGAATCGGCTCTTTGAAACGAACTGTTTGGAAAAAACAATTCGCCTGAAGGAGTTTTTCGCGAGAAGGACTAAATACTATAAAAACTGCTATTAATATGATGGCCTATTTCATATTATTAACTCATATAAAATTTACCCAGAAAATCATTCTTTGTAAGAACCAAAATAATGCCTTGATAACCATGAGACACATTGTTTATGTGTAGAAATATTAATCTGAGTTTGGTTATTCAGTGCTTTATATGCGTGTAAGTGCATAGCTGTCTGGATTTGACCATCTCTTTAGTTTAAGTTTTTTAGAACTGGGATTGAATGTAGAGGTTATGTAAATTCCCTCTGGGAATCAAGTATTACAGGAGCAACGAGTGAATGGTGAGACAATGTGGAAGAGAAATGAACAGCAAGGATTTGGGTGAGGAAACATAGTGATGATTCATGGATCTGAAGGGGCAGCAGGGCAGGATGATAAATGAAGTTAACCAACTAACATTATACATACCCTTTTGGTTTCTGTACCCAATATTTAAAAAATGTACAAATGCAATATATCGGTACCGGCAAGTACCAAAAATAAAAGTATCGGTATCGGGCGAGTACTGGAAAAAGTGGTATCGGTGCATCCCTAGTTGCATTTGATCCAAATGGGAAAAAAACGTTTTTACCCAAGAGGTGTAAATGAATTTTAATTTTAGGATTGCAAATGCAAATAATATTTAGGCTGTAAGTAACTTTTAAGAGCTAAAACACATTGATTTTAGGAAGTGGTGAGATATGACTATTTAAACGTTTTTGAGCTCCTAATATTTAATATTTTGCGCTGTCATGGCCTAATCATGGAATCATTGAATTGTTATTTTGAATCGGCTCTTTGAAACGAACTGTTTGGAAAAAACAATTCGCCTGAAGGAGTTTTTCGCGAGAAGGACTAAATACTATAAAAACTGCTATTAATATGATGGCCTATTTCATATTATTAACTCATATAAAATTTACCCAGAAAATCATTCTTTGTAAGAACCAAAATAATGCCTTGATAACCATGAGACACATTGTTTATGTGTAGAAATATTAATCTGAGTTTGGTTATTCAGTGCTTTATATGCGTGTAAGTGCATAGCTGTCTGGATTTGACCATCTCTTTAGTTTAAGTTTTTTAGAACTGGGATTGAATGTAGAGGTTATGTAAATTCCCTCTGGGAATCAAGTATTACAGGAGCAACGAGTGAATGGTGAGACAATGTGGAAGAGAAATGAACAGCAAGGATTTGGGTGAGGAAACATAGTGATGATTCATGGATCTGAAGGGGCAGCAGGGCAGGAGTCTCATCACCCCTCAGGCCTGAGGTCTAGCGGAATCATACAAATTACACATTGCTGCTCAAACCAGCAGAAATATGCAGATATTATGTGACCTCTGACAGCACATTGTAGTCCAGAATCGCATGTGACCTGTGTGTTTGTGTCTCTTTTACCCAGTAGCTCCAGTCGTCCCAGTAATGCAGGGAGAGGTGGTTGTAGAGGAGGAGCTGGAGTCTTTGTGTCTCTCTCTCTCTCTCTCACACACACACACACACACATACACACTTCTTATAAATCACTTTAATAGACACTAAGGGCTTTAACTGGCCTGACAAAAACAGGCCCTATTGAAGAGCACTTACGGGTGACTGTGTTTTGTTAAATACTGCCTAGACATGATTGGCAGTGGTTTTGTTGATTTAGGTATTTTTTGATGCCACCAATGTATTGTCCACAGTAAGAACAGGGATGTTTTAAGAAAGTCAAGCACTGTGGCAGCACTGTGTTCATTTACTCGCTAACAGCCCATGATCCAGTGTTTTCAGTGTCTCAGAGCGGCTTGGTTCCCAACAAATTCTGCTCCATCTCTGCAGCTGCTCTAAACAAATTTGTAATGAGAAGCACTTATAATGGCTGTTGTCAACAAAAGAGAAGCTTTAATGGCTCCCTGATGGTTGATGGTTTCACATTTGAAAATAAACATTAAATATTAGTACTGTAAATACATTTATTTTTCTCAAATACTAGATTTTAACTTTACCGTTAAATATAAAAGTAATATTTCTCATTTTAATTAATATTTTATTTACTACTACTACTACTATTTTTTTACTAACTTAAAATAATAAGAAATATTTTTTAAAAATTACTATTGTAATATTTTAATATTATTATTGTAATCAATTTGTTATAAATTCTTGTTGTTATTAATATGGAAATTGCAATCCCAGTTATCAGGAAAAAAATTGCAATTAGATTTATTCCTTACAAATCCTGCCTATTTGAATTTGATCAAAACTCATGTATGATAAACATAAGATGAGTGTAAAAACAGGCAAACCTCATCTACATCACAGTGTTTGCATCATTGCGTAAATGTAGATTTTGCAAAGATGTTGTTTTAGGCGCGGACGTCTTTCTCGCCATATGGTTTTCTGACTCTGCATAAGTTGTGAAACCTATTAAACATGACAAACCTACTCTACCGTTTTATTCATATAACACAAACCCAGTTGAGTATAATTTATTAATACAGGCCTCCAGAATTAGCTCTCGTTTTAGTGGCATCAGCCTTCACAGTCGAACAGCCACTACTGCAAAAGAGTCCGACAGTGTGATGTAGGCACATTTGCGATGAATAAATAATCTGTTGTGTTTAACATGGGGGGCCATTATCTTACTCTCTTTGCTTCTCTTGATTTCCTCCTGAAATGTTAAAAACAAACACCAAACACGCTGCCAGGGTTTGAGGCAGTCTGTCTGATGTTTTTAATTCTAATTTTCATACAACAGAAACTTCACTGTCAACATGTAGAACTATTATGGCTATGTTGCTATTATGCTGTCATGACTTTATACTTGAAGTCTCAATTAATTTGTGTTTTTTCCCAGGGGAGCGTTTTCAGTGGTGCGACGATGTGTGAAGTTGAGCACGGGCCAAGAATACGCTGCCAAAATCATCAACACCAAAAAACTCTCCGCGAGAGGTTAGTCAATTCCTGAAGATGTTCCGAAACATTCAAAGTTTTTTTTTTTTTCGTAACAGTATAACGGAGGGGTTTTAATTCTAGGAACAATTTTACAACTAATACTTCCGAGTGAGACGGATTATTTAAAAAGAAAAAAATGTATTATGGGAACTTGGTTCTATCCATTGGTTATGACATTGCGATTAAAAAGGTAAAAAAAAAAATCTTAAAAATATGAAACGTGCATGAATTGTTCGCAGTAAGTTCATTAAGATGCATTTAAAAAAACAGATGATGAATTTCCATTTCATTCCAAGTTCACTATGTGCAGAGATGGTAGATGGTAATAGCATGGTATTAGTGTTAATTTCGTAATGAAACCTATGACAAAAAAATGTTTGTTGACTAGCTTTTTTCCATGACTGAAACAAGACGATGACGAGACGACAATAAGGTCAATAAACGATAACTGTGACTGTATCAACATGGAAAATATTCTTGCGGACTGCTGTACACATCTCTACTGCGTGAGCTTTCATGTGTACGGTTGCCAGATATCAAGAGTTCAAATCCTCAACTCAGAGCTTCTTTGTTAAAAGGATACATTTTCTGCCCAGTGTTTTGCTTAATTCTTGCAATCTGGCAACCATGCACACGCACTCGCATGCACTTCATTGCAGAAGCGCCGATGATGCTCTGAAAACACTGACAAACAAGTAAGCTGGAATTTAGCGATCTCTGTTCATCTTAAATGAAAGTGTCATTCAGCCGGTCTGTGTCCTCTCATGAGATCTCGATAATATTGCTTTCACTGTTATAATATTATTTTTTGTTTGTTTTAACAGTTTTCAAAATGTAGACAGAGAGAGTGCATAAGTCTTTGATATGAATTTATATAATAAATAGCCTATTATAAATCAGTACAATAGATGAGGTAAAATAAACCATGTGTACGAATCGAAATTCTGTTGATTTGTGCTAATTGGTAAAAGTGCAATAACTGAAATGCAAAAATAAATTTAGGCAAAAATAATTTTTCTCAGTTTAAACATTATACAGCATGATGAAAATGTAACTAAGATTTCACTGACTAAAATGCTCAGACATTTAGTCGACTAAAATTTTACTAAACAAAAACAGGACAAAGTTGATGCACGATGATAATAACTCGCGTGTATTTCACACAAGACTAATTTGAAAAGACTATGACTAAGGCTAAATTAAAAAATGGCGGACAAAATTAACACTAGGCCTACATGATACTTTTATATGTAGTATGGTACTGAAAAATGACCATTTTCATGTACTGTAGTATTTAAGTCAAAGGATACCGTGGTACCATTTCCAAAAAACCATGTTAGGATTCCTTTGTAAATGCTTAGAAATTCAATAACAGAACACTCAAAGTTCCACAACATGCTCATAACTATATTTAAATCTGCTTCCATGGTCACTGTCAGCGCCAATAGCAGATCCAAACACCATGGCAATAAGACACCAATGAAATGGCAGAAAGAGATTTTCAGTTTTTACGGCATCCCGCTGTTGAAGGGTGTAAGTCCTCCCTCTTGAAACTTGAAGCCAGCAGTTGCTTTGCCAAAGTGTCATCCTCATCATGTCCCCTCAGTTGTGTGGTCATTGTGGTGAGAATGTATAATGTGGAGAACAAGCACTTGACATGTATTTGATTCCACAGGCACTGAAAACATTTTAAAATAGGCCCAACAGCCCTCTAAATACAGCCTGTGTGGAGAGACACATTGCTTTCTGATTGCGTGGTCCGAGGAAATCAAATTAAGGTTGGGAATGTAGAGTTGTAAGATTAGTCTTTTAGTTGTTAACCTTCTTGATGCAGACAAGACTGGCCATTATAAAACCTGTCAAGATTATGTCCAGGTCATATTTTCTTTTGTGTGTGTGTGTGTGCGCTTTTTTTTTTTTACACTTTGACATGAATTCATATACACTACCATCCGAAAGGTGGAACGCTTTCATGAGCTTCACCCTAGCCTTTTTCTTTTATTGTAGCTTTGTGTTATTGTACCATTTTGTCACGAAAAGCAAATATAGGATGATAAATGTTTACAGTGTTCAAATGGAAATTTATTTGACAAAATCTAGCGTTGCGGTGGGTCGTGTAGATTAGGAGTGACTGTCTTTAGGCTGAGAGTTACTTTGAGGAGAGAGAAACAATATGATCTGTCGGGTTAGAAGGAGGGTGGGCATGAGAGAGGGAATGTGACCTAGATATACAGAAAGGGAAAGAGTGGAAGAGAGAGAGAAGGAATCATCATGAATGACTGTTTGAGAGAAAGACACATAAAGAGAAGGCAGACAGTGAAGGCACCTTTGGCACTTGGCAGCTGTGTGTGTGTGTGTGTGTGTGTGTGTGTGTGTGTGTGTGTGCGCGCGCATGTGAAAGAGAGGCAGAGAACAAGCATGCCTGGAGCACGGGACTCTCATCTGACCCAGAGAGATGGTCATGACCCTGGCAGAACGCACAAATAAGTTCATGAGACGTAATTTGTGGTAACCATAGACTGTAAAAAAAGATGGATGACGCGTCTCCACTTCCTTCCACTGTAGAAAAGTGAAGCCAAATCGTCTCAGTATGGCCGCTGCCATCTTGAGTAAATGACGTCATTTGGAGCCAGAGTCTGCGCAGTAGAGATATGCTTGGAGCCAGTGTCTGCACAGTAGAGATTCGTTTGGAGCCAGAGTCTGCGCAGTAGAGATTCGTTTGGAGCCAGAGTCTGCGCAGTAGAGAATTGTTTGGAGCCAGAGTCTGCGCAGTAGAGAATTGTTTGGAGCAAGAGTCTGTGCAGTAGAGAATTGTTTGGAGCCAGAGTCTGCGCAGTAGATAATCGTTTGGAGCCCGAGTCTGCACAGTAGTGTCGTGAGGTGGAGCCGCGGTATCAAACTCCCACCCAAACTCCCGCAGACCCAGTCAACCATAACGACACGCCCCGTTTTTATAGCATCAAATTACTAGCTAAAATCAAACTTATCACAAAAACGAACAATTGAACACATATCAGCGTGATAACAACTACCTTAAAGGCACAATATGTAATTTTCGCCGCTTGAGGGCGCGTATTCAAAATAAACAAAGAGACAAAGGCGTAGTTTGATGACGCTGTGACTGAGTGTGGAATCATGGGAGTTGCGGTCTTCATCCCCACAAAACAAAACCGGAAATCGAGGGGTTATGACGTCATTGGCAGGCAACACAATGACACTATGGACACGCTCCGTGTCACTAGTTGAAATTGCGTATTTCTCTGGATTTAAACATTCTTCGAATCATTTGGAATAATGTAAGTACACAAGTCAGCAAATTATATAACACTGTTCTAGTGGTTTTTGGATATTTTGATAAAAAAAATCTTACATATTGTGCCTTTAAATGACCAGAAGCATCTTTCGGAAAATTGTATTGGAAGTGTAATTAATTTTTTTTATTTTGACTCAAGTCCCATTCGTTTACATGGAGAGGGCGGGGTTTATGACCTGTACTGCAGCCAGCCACCAGGGGGCGATCAAAGAGCCCACAGCTTCACTTTTCAGGACGTGCGATGCACAACCGGTAGTAACCCATTAGCGATGCGTCACAATTAGGGCTGCACGATTAATCGCATGCGATATTTAACGCGCATCTTATCAGTAAAGCCGGTTCTGTAATCAGCGGTAAATCTCCATCACCTGCGGGCTTTCACATTGAGCAGCATTAACTACACAGAGCCGTTGTTCACTGACGAGCTGCGCTAAACCAGGTTCATATTCGCGCGATTTTTTGCAAATATAAATTATATGCAAATATAAATTGCATTGCAAATGCTGTTATTTAAAAGTACATCTGCTGTGCTCTGTCCAAATTTTTGCAAGAGTATGTCTTACAGACGTGTCCACGGTTCTGTAATCAGCGGTAAATCTCCATCACCTGCGGGCTTTCACATTGAGCAGCATTAACTACACAGAGCCGTTGATCACTGACGAGCTGCGCTAAACCAGGTTCATATTCGCGCGATTTTTTGCGCTGCTCATCAGTGAACAACGGCTCTGTGTAGTTAATGCTGCTCAATGTGAAAGCACGCAGGTGATGGAGATTTACCGCTGATTACAGAACCGGCTTTCTGACAAGATGCACGTTAAATATCGCACGCGATTAATCGTGCAGCCCTAGTCACAATGTTGGTCTAGTAGGGCCCTATGAAATCAATTTTATTTTTTCCCAAGTTCTGTTTAATTTTTTTCAGTTTTCATTTTTCTGGGCTCTTGTTTAATGGTTAATTAAAAATTGAATTAATTTAAATCATGAAACTTATACAATTTAACAAAATTAAAATTTTTTAAAAAGTTTAACAAAAAACATGTTAGGGCCCTATGAAATGTTTTATTTTTTATTAGTTTTATTATTACCAATTTCTGTGTTTTAGCATGTGTTTTGTGTTTCGACACAATTATTTGAATGCAGTATATTATAATATAATTGATGATGAATAGTTATATATTTCTGGCAAAATTAACATCGTCTTAACATCAAACAGAACTTTTATTTTGACGGGTTGCTGTGAATACTTTTACATTTCTGCGTGTACATGATATGACACTAGTTTTACTCAAATGAAATGGTAAAATGCTCAGGAAGTGACTCTCAGAACAGTTTTGGAGATGTTGTTCATGTATTATTTTATTTATTTATGTCCTCATTTAGTGAGACGGCAGACGCTGAAATCACTGTGAGCGGCACGAGCACTTCATTATGTGTAGTGAACAAAACCACGCGTCTGCACCATTCATCACACAGACATGCAGAACATGCAGGATTTATATTTAAATAGTCTTTTTGAGGCTTAATATTTACAGACACTAGTCCACATCACAATTTTATTTAAGTGTAATGACCTACTTTTCATTAATTTGTCCAAATTTTGACAAATTCCGTGACATTCTGCATTATTCAGTAGATTCCACGATTCTGTCCGTGTTTCCTGCATCCCTGAAATCAGAGGGCCCTAGTCTAGTCATCCAACCTTTGATTAGTCTAGTTTATCTAGATTTTTGCACTAATAATTTTTTGCTTTTATGTTTTTTTAGCACGCTATAGTTTAGTTGTGCAATCATCTCGGAAATAGTTGGGTCTTTACAAACATCATCACTGTATCCTATAATTACGAATTCAGATCGATTTTTGAGGATATTGCCACTAGCATTGCATTATAAAAATGCTGTTATTTAAAAGTACATCTGCTGTGCTCTGTCCAAATTTTTGCAAGAGTATGTCTTACAGACGTGTCCAATGTGTCTTTAAAGTTGCGATGTAGCACAAGTAATGACAGATATTTTCTTCCAATTTGTGATGTACAAAACTGAAACGTGATTATGGAAAAGAAAAAAACGAGACAATGAATTGGTTCAGTCCATCAGGTCTTGACTGAATGGAGGCAGAATGGCTGGATTGTAAAAATGGGTGGAGTTTAAGCGGACTCAATGATTGGCCAAATCATTCAAAGGAAGATCAATAACATGCATTTAGAAAATTTCCATTTCATGAACAATTCGTTTTTGTTTATTTTGAAAATATGTAGTTTTGCACAACCATAAACCACCAAAACCTTTAACTAGCAATGCATGGTTTTCAATTTGAAATTTATATCTTGTCTTGGAAATGAAGTGTGTGGTGGTTTAAGGGTATTATTTAAATGTGGTATAGGACGACAGCTTCTGCAGGGAACTCATTAGCTAGAGCGGAGCTTCATATCTGGGTTGACGGCGTTGGCGCTCTAGTGTTACAACAGCTTCAGGAGTATGTGTATAACTCAGAGAATGCAGCAGCTGAGCTTAAGGTCAACGCACATTAGCGTCAGCGACAGACAAAGGGGCGGGATTCCAGACCCGGCCAACAGCCAATCAAGAAGCCTGTCTCTGTGTTAGGGTTAGTAGGAGTAAGACGAGGCAGCGCCAAGCCATTAAATCTTAAAATATGGCAAGGCTGAGAATAGGGATAATAAAATATTGAACAATAGGTAAAGGTGGGACATGATCAAATGGAAAAAACAACACCTTTTGAATACAGGCTAATTGGCTCTTCACACGGAACTCCACTGTGTGACTTGGTGACCTTGAGTGTCAGTTGAAATAAATGTTGTTTTACAGAGGTCAGTTGGCGATTTATGTTTGGGTTTGCTTTCGTACAGTGTTGTGTTTAACTACTGATGCAGTGGAGGTTATGCATTATACAGTGACTCCCCAAAAAAAGTATTTGGACATTTAAGGTACACTTATTCTTTACAGTATTTTTGTATTGTCTTAGCATTACATAACAAAAGATCAAACTAAGTGTGATTGATCTAAAAGACAGCACAGGCACACTTTCTAAGTGAAACAGTTAGCAAAAAGAAGTTTGTATAGATAAAACAATAGCTACTGTATATTTGTGGTTGTCAAACAGTGGAAACATCATCAGAAAAATGATTTAGTAAAGTGAAATTAATTCTTGGAAAAGTCATCAATTGTATTATTTTATTTAATCATTTCAGTCATCATTTGTTTTCCACTTGGTGTATATATATTATATATAAGTGATATTAAAATGAGCACATTAAATATGAATATTTATTATGGCATTTGAATGGTCGAACAGTGGAACAAGTTTTCATGACTGTGTCCTTACTGGTTGGATTGTGTTGTGAATTCTTGTGAATTCAAACTTTCACTTACTTGCACTTTTCACTTACAAAACATAGTGGTGAAATTTTGCATGCCTAATTGTTCAGCATTGCAGTTTTCCAGCGTTTATTATTATTTTTGCATCTACATTAGGTGACTGTAGTGAATTTACTCACATCAGCTGAACTTCCAGTTGTGTTGATCATTTTGTGCTCTCTTCTTAAATCGTTGATGTCGCCTTTAGCTGTGTCTGTCATTAATGAAACCTGATTTTTAATTGCGTGTGTTGCTGTTGGATTTAATTTTTCTGATACGTCCTGAGGCGTTATTTGTGTTGCTATCAGTTTGATGAAACATTAGATGACCTTCTAGAGCATGAATCATAAGCATGAGAAACATGTTTTGTATCGCCCTAATCCATCTTGGGCTTGATGGGGTTTTGGTCCTGTCTCTGTTGATTTTCTCTGTTGATTTTCAAGAAGGGAGCATTTATTCCACTCTTATAGTAGCTCATCATCATCATCATTAGGATCATCATCATTATTATTGTAATTAACAGCCTAGGCAGTATGTTCTCTGTCCAGATGGGCCAGTAGGGTGCTCTTATATAACCATGTCTTATATTGAGAGGTTTGTTGGTATAGATATAGATATATGAGACGTAGATATAGATAGGGCTGGGCGATACAGCAAATAAATTTATCAACTATATAATGTTTCATATTGTTTGGTATCGATATTTATTGACATTTTTTATAACCTTTTTAAAAACAAAGCGCAGTAGAAAAAAATGTTTAAATTTAACCACTGTGTTTTTAATTTACCCAATATATTGAGACTAACAAAAAATGTTTTGTTTGTTTTAACAGTCCAACACAAAATAAAATTTAAACAAATATCTCTTTTCTTATGTGTTATATGCAGATTAAATAAGTCTTATGGAAACTTTTGGCTTGTCTCCGGAGGCCACAGGAGGGCGCAATGAGCAAAATAAGGCAGTGTATTAAATTGTCAATGCAATGAAATAACTGTCCATAAAAAAACGTGCATAACGTCTAAATTAACATATATAAATCAAATATAATTTCGTAAATTGCATAAACAATTATGAACAAAACAGCATCATGTATTTATGCATTGCATAAATAATAAAAAAAAAAGAGCCGAATCGCCGAACACCGATTGCATTTAAAAACATATGAGACACAGTTAAAAGGAATAAACCTCCACAAATTCACGACGTGTTTTCTAAACGTTAAATTGTTTTAACTTTGCATGGCTTTCTATACATCTCTTGTGTGAGATGTGAGTGCAGCAGTCATACTTTAGTCTTTGCAGCTTTACAGATCTTTTTTATGCACCAAGAGCTTGTATCACTTCAAAGAGAAAGGAAAACTTGAAATCGCATCATATGACCCCTTTAACACTTTTTGTGTTTGACCCTCAGACCATCAGAAGCTCGAACGAGAAGCTCGAATCTGTCGTCTGCTGAAACACCACAATATCGGTGAGCTATTTACCTCCACCAATTCTAATCAGAAATAATATATATGATTAAAGTGTATTTTAAGCATTTAAACTCTGAATGGATCGTTGACAGTCGATTATTATCATACTTTGAGCTCAGGAGAATGTTGTGTGATTTTTGTCCCTACAGCCTCAATAAAATCTAATCTCAATTCTCTGTTTTTTTCTGTGAGACGCGAGTGCAGCAGTCATATTTGTCCGTCTAAAAAATGCGCTGAATTTGCGTTCTGTGTGAATGACTTGTTTTCGGTTTTAACCTAAACAAGATCTTCTACGCATTGAGCTTCTATATTTCTCTAATATTCTGAATGAATAATGTAGCAGCAGTGCGTCTCATGGGCTAGACTAACAAAACATTAAACTACAACGTTACTTACATCATCATCACCGCATCTGGTGCTCCACTGATGACGCTCCCTGACGCACACCTAACATTCGACTGTACCATTTTTGCATTCAAATGCAATTTTTTTTATTTTAAATTCGACTAATATACATTTTTTTATTCACACTCTCCTCATGTTCGTGTTCTTGTGTTCTGTCTGCATCACTCATAGCATGTGCCTATATTGTGCGCTATATCGAACATTTCTATCATTATCAATGAAGGAGTACCGTTGATAAATATCGATACTGACGCACGCCTAACATTCGACTGTACCATTTTTGCATTCAAATGCAATTTTTTTTTGTATTTTAAATTTGACTAATATTAATTTTTTAATTCACAATCTTACTGTTTGATTTGTAAGTGTCAGTGTACTTCCTGTCAGAATGTTCCTCCGTTTCCTGTTATCAAATTAGCTTTGACGTGAGGAACAGCGTAGCCTAAAATGATTCATCCTTCATATGCTACAGTATGTGCCTCTGAAGCCTTTTATAAGCATTCTGTTTTTCTGCACTGTTAAACGGATAGTTCACGCAAAAATAAAAAACTGCTGCTGTCATCATCTGCTCACTCTCACAACACTATGAATGCAAAAGGAGTAATGTTGCATTCAAGTCATGTTTGAATGATTGTATTTATGAGATGAGCACACATGCACAAATTGTTATTTATCATAGTACTTTGTAATTGCTAATGTTAATTTTATAATATAGTTTTGTGTGCTGGTGATGAAGACCAGTGATCAAATTTACCAGAAAATACTGCCTGTTTATGCAGTGACAGGCTTGTATAGCAAAACTGAATTTGGCAGCACAAGCATGATAAGATACGCTGATAAAGTGTCAATTCCACACCTAAAGCTCCATTTCCTTTGTTCTTAATTTTGTTGTACTAGAGATAATAAACCTCATATCTTTGACAGAAAGCAGTGTAAATAATAAAATTGACCAACATATTTATTTTATTCTGACCAAAATTACTTGAACATACATCACATCATAATTATGATTTTTCAAACTTATACTTATACGTAGGAAATGACCAAGATGACTTTAAAACATCTAGCTGTCGTACAGGCTGCTGTTTTCTGATGAAAGTGAACATTATATGCTATTAAGAGTATTTACTAATAGTTTAAATTAGCTTTAATTTTTATATTTTCAGTTTTCGATTTAATTTTAATTGTAGTATTTTTATTTTTATTCTTTTTATTTCAGTTTTAGACATTTTTGGAACATTTTTAAAGTTCATTTTATTTCAGCTTTTTTTTATTATTATTATTATTTTTTTTATTGCTGTTATTTTTTAATAGTTTTATTTTTTAGCGAAGAATAACAACACTGCTGTGCTGTATTCAAAAGAAGAGACGTGCACTAGAACAGGAATTCTGTTTGAATTAGCAAATAGCCAGGCTAATATTAATTTTTTAATTCACAATCTTCTCATCACAGGCAGGCACAGCACTCATGTTTGTGTTTGTGTGTGCTGTCTGCGTCACTCATAGCACGTGCCTATATCGTGCGCTATATCGAACATTTTTTCTATTGTTATCGATGAAGGAGTATCGTCGATAAATATCGATACCGTTTTATCGCCCAGGCCTAGAGGGCTGAGATGACTTTTCAGAAGAAACTTAGGTTAGATATTAGTATGGTTTTCACCATCTGAAGCTTAAATCTAATCTGGAGTAAAAGTGAAGGTATACATCTAAACATTGTGTTCTAGTCTCTATCTAGCCACCCTCAGTTCTGAGCCGCGCTGACCCTTTTATTAAGACTGAATGAGATCTAGGACGTTGATTTAGTGCAACTGTGACAAGCTTATGGTTTGTGATTGCTGCCTCCTCTCATGTTTTTGTGCCAAATGCTCAATACTCGACAAAGGAAATAATGATAGTGTAATTAAAAGGCATAATGACATATCAGGTTTGTGATGTCATTGCCAATGGAAACAAGTCCTGTAACTCTACACTGGAGCTATGACCAATGTGATGGCTAATGCGATGTGATGTTTATTTTGAATGTGGTTTATTCATAGTCTACCCGAAATTTTACTTTTGACTACTATTTTTTTCACTACTTGAAATGCCCGGTTGTTAATTAAAAGCTGATATTAATATTTAATTTAAAAGCTGATATTTTATTTTATTTTATGCATGTTTATTTTTATATTTAGATCAGATTTAGCAGATCTCAAAATGATTATCTGTGTTTCATACTTGAAATTGTACATTTGTGATTCCTAAATTAACATTAACAAAAAAAAAAAATTATAATTTACAAATACTAATTTCATTTTTTAGCATTTTACTGTGTTAGCATGTGTAACCAAGTATGTTGGGCTGTTTGTTTTTTTTTGCAGCTTATAACACACCATTCAGTGTTTTATAATTTGTACTTTTAAAAGGATGAACTTCCTGTGTTTTAGGGTGACTGGAGGTGAACTGTTTGAAGACATTGTAGCCAGAGAGTACTACAGCGAAGCAGATGCCAGGTAAGGCTGCTTTTCCTAATGTTTAATGTTTCTCCGTGCCTCTCTTCTGCCCTTTCTTCTCCTCTCTCATTGGCCCTAGCGTGTTGCACCCGTCACCATCACATACACGTTCACTGTGAGTTTGTTTTGCATTTGGAGATGCTATTTGAAATAGCATCTCCCACAGTGCAACACGCAAATCTCACTCTTCGCTCATCACACACACTAGGGTGAAACGTGGCCTAAAAAGGTGGCACGACAGAACTGGACACTAAGATTGTTTGAGGAAATGAACTGTATGCTGTTGTGTGTAGTTCAGGTGCTTTGTGCAACAATATACAATTCTAGAGTGTTGCTGTTGTGTCTTTAGTTTCTCTGTCTATGTATAGGTCTTCTCTTGTTTAGTTTTGTTTCCACTGATCTATCTCTGTTCTTTCATCATGCATTATGTCTCTTTCCCTCTCATATGCACACAGACACAGGCAGCCTGACCATCCCGTACAGATCCCTTTCCACATTGTGTGAGTGTGTGCTTGTGTGTTTGTTATCAGGGTTTACAGTATGCAGTCGAAGGTGTTAGTCCAGCCCATATATGCAGTTCCACATAATGACTCGCACTGACTTCCTGTGGGTGTGTGTACCACGTTCGCTTTGACCGTCTCTCTTGTGGGTTTTTTGACCCAGTGCTTGTTCCGTGGTATCGTTCGTGTGGGGAGGTGTGGTTTAGTAGTTAAAGGTCTGGTCTGCTAACTGAAAGTTAGAGATGAGACGATCCAAAAACACGATTTTGCCCTTGACATTTAACCTAATTTTTCTTTTAGGTAAGTGTATGCGTGTCATTTGACTAAATTAATAAGTATATAGAGTTTATCTCAGTATATGCTATATAATATATAATATATATTATATCTCAGTATATCTATCAATAAGAAATACAATTAAATTGTTTAGGTGTGTGTGTGTGTGTGTGTGTGTGTGTGTATAATATAATATAATCCAAGGCTGCATATATTTGATGTAAAAATACAGTATATTTTGAAATATTTGTACAATTTAAAATGACTATTTTATTTTTAATTGTTTTTAAAAGTGCTATTTATTTCTATGATGCCAAAGTTGCGTTTTCAGCATCATTACTCCAGTCTTCAGTGTCACATGATCCTTCAGAAATCATTCTAATATGCTGATTTGCTGCTCAAGAAACATTTCTTACTAAATATCATTGTTGAAAACAGTTTTGCTGCTTAGTATTTTTGTGGAAGCCATTTTTTACAGGATTCTTTGAAAACAAGGTTTATAAGAAAAGAATAAGTAGGAATTATAAAGTAATTTTTGCATCAGTGTGAAATCTTTGTCATTTTTGATCAATTTAATGCATCTTTGCTAATAAAAGTAGTCATTTCTTAAATTAACTGAACCCAACATTTTGAACGGTAGTGTAAACATCATTAAAAAACACACAATTATTTTTAAATGGCTGTTTATTTATTGAGGTTGAATATATTATAAATAAAAAAATATATAATAAATGTATAACATAACTACTTAAATGACAATTTAGGTAAAAGTGAGAAGAAATATTTTTGTAATTTAAGTACTGCATTTGGTCAACTATTTGGTGCAAACAAGTACTTGACTAGTCGGTTACTTGTGCACATGTCTAATACTAGTGTCTGATTAGATTGCATTATGATCTTGATTGTTATCAAGTTTGCAGGTTCAATCTCAAGTGTATAAACCACAGATACTGAGCCTCACTGTCTTGGTTCGTCACCATTATTAAAGTTGAGCAATGTGCTCTTGTTCTCATGACCCAGCTGTTAGTTACGACGTTACACTTTAGCTGAGCGTTTGCTAAAGGGCAGTTTACGCTCTTGTCATGCTCTTGCACAATGCTTTTACACTGTAATTACTGTAGTATATTGCATAGGGGCTCTTATAATAGGTATATATAAAGCAATCGTTGGCCTCTGGAGATGAAATTATAGGCTGATAACTGTGTTTGAAACAAGTGCTAGCATCCATTCCCTAGATATCCTTGTCAAATAAAGTGGAGGTTGTCACAGCACAATTGTGAGTGTGAAATTTCGGAAAATGATGCACCTTATAATGCATTGTACAATCTCATGAATAATTGTAACCACAGTTAATATAACACTTATCAATTCATTGTAACACTATGCATTTTAAATTCGGTTAGAATTATTACGACAAGATAATGTATTACAACGCACATTATGGGCTTTAAAGTAAAGTGTTACTGACATGTATTTTATACAACTTGCATTTCAGACACAACAACAATAATAATAGATAAATAAAAATAATAAATAAACGATTAATCGCATCCAGAATAAAAGTTTTTGTTTACGTAATATATGTGTGTACTGTGTATATTTATTATGTATATATCAATACACATTTTGAAAATATATACATGTATTTACGTGTATATATTTATATTAATATAACTTGTTATATAAATATATGTAATATATAAACATAACATTTTTCTTAAATATATACATGCATGTGTGTGTATTTATATAGACATAATAAAAATACACAGTACACACACATATATTATGTAAACAAACTTTTATTTTGCAAACGATTAATCGCGATTAATCATTTGACAGCACTAATAATAATAATAGTTTATTTTATAATATTTTATTGTTAATATGTTCTAATAATATTATTGTTGTTATATAAAACAGTAATGACAATCATGTAAAATTATTAAAAAAAAATTCACACATTTACTATTTGTATTTTATTTTTTAAGTGTAATTTGTTACAGGAAAATCTAAATTTATTTTTACAAAAATTATCAGTTAGAAGTGAACCACATTGCTTTCTAGATATCTTTAGAAAGTTTAAATGTGACTGAGAAATCAAATGTTTGCCTGTTTCTTTTGTAGGAATAGATGTAAGGAAACATCTCCGCTTCTTTCCTTGTGCTCGTCTCCTGCTGACCTGCTTCTAGCCACCTGCTGTCTGTCCCTCCTCTCTCTCTCTCTCTCTCTCTCTCTCTTTCCCTCCTCTCCATCTCTGTTGTTCTCTCTTTCACTCGAAATGTCCCTCTTCTTGTGAAGCCCTGCAGCCGTGCGCTGCCCCCTGCCTCCTCAGAGAGAGGGAGAAACTAGGGCTCCAATTAACACACGTAATTAGGGCTTCATCTTTCTCCCCTCCTCCCATTCTCCACCTGTCTCTCTCTCTTTCTGTCTTCCTTCTCTCTTTTATTCAGATACTTTAGCTCTCTCATTCTGTGTGTGTGTTCTACACCGCAGTGTTGTGGCTCTTGTTGTTGGACGTGTGACAGAAGCAGGGTATGACGCTACTGTGAATGGAAACGGGCCCGAGCTTGAGTGATTTAAATCCGTGAAAAGCACTTTACTAATCATCTATCTTTTTTTGTTTGTCGATCTCTTATTATTATTATTTTGTTGTTTATAGTTAATAATTTTACCACATAGAGGTGTACGGCCTTAAGGTTTAGAAAAATATTTGATAATATAACATGGTTGACAGGTGACGTGTGTAAGGTCATTCTGTTGATTAATTTCTATTTCTGTAGCTTTGTGCTGGTTAGCCCCGCCCACTGTGAATTCTCACTGGTCTAAAGTCCTGTCATAACCATAAATTAATATCATATCATGTAGCAGTTTTGTATTCAGTGTGGACCAAAACAATCGCTGAAAACTTGGCATATTGTGCCAGGTTAGGACATAGTTTTGGATAAGTTTTGCCTCAAAATGTTCAAATCTACTAGAGTAGGTTGAAATGCTAAACGTAGTAGAGCAGATAGACAAAAACATCCATATCAGTTATTGAACATATGAGAAAGTTTGTATTTTTATGTCACTTTTATGTCATTTTTAAGATTTTTTGTTTTATTTATTTATTTATTTAAGAAATTATTACTTTTATTAAACAATTGAAAGTAAAGGCGTTTATAATGTTACAAATGTTTCTATTTCAAGTAAATGCCATTCTTTTGATCTTTTTATTCATCAAAGAATCCTGAAAAAAAAATGTATCAAGGTTTCCAAAAATATTTATCAGATAAAAATGTTTCTTGAGCAATATCAGCATATTTCTGATTTCTGAAGGATGGTGTTAAACTGAAGACTTGAGTAATGATGTTGAAAATTCAGCTTTGCATCACAGGAATAAATTACATTTTGAAATATATTAAAACAGAAAATAGTTATTTTAAATTCTAATAATATTACTATTTTTATTGTATTTTTAAATGCAGCCTTGGTGAGCATTAAAGACTTACTTCAAAAACATCTTCAGTCCCAAACTTTTGAACCATAGTATATATATAATATATAAAACACAATGTTGTCATGAATATGTGTGTGTGCGTGTGAGAAAGATTGCCCCTTCAAAGACATAGTAAATGTATATAGTAAATCTCCCCACACCACACCAGCTTTTATTCTCACATCCTCAGATTTAACACACACACTACACTACACCTGTTTCTCCTCACCTACTCTCTCTCTCTCTCTTTCTTTCTCTCTCTGATGTTGTTCTTGTTGTTGACAGTGGTGTGTTTTTTTGTCTAAATGGTTCTGTCTCTTCACTTCCACCATTCACTTTCCTCTCTCCCTCCATCTCTCTCTCTTCCCTCACTGTTTACATCACTCCTCCCATCTCTCGTGCATCGATTCAACCTGTCACCTTGTTTTCTCTATCATCTCCGCTCCTTTCATTCAATGCACTGCCATCACTCCATCAATCGTTTAATTTCACTGCATCTATCCTCACATCTCCCCCTTCACCTCTCGCTCCCTCCCTCCCCCTCTTCTTTTTCTGTTCTTCACAGTCACTGTATCCATCAGATTCTAGACAGTGTCCATCATATTCACCAACATGACATAGTGCACAGGGACCTGAAGGTCAGTATGTAGCTCACACACTGCCTGTCTGTAACCTGTCTGTTTGCCGCTGCTTGCTCCTGTCTGTGTGTCTGTAGCTTTAGCCTGTCTGTCTGTCTGTCCGTCTGT